ATGATCGCACCACTGCACTCTAGCCTGGGTGACAAGGCGAGAACTTGTCTCAAAGAAGAAGAAAAAAATACAATAAAAAATAGCTACAGGCTCTCACCGTGATTGCCAGGCTGGAGTGCAGTGGTGTGATCATAGCTTGCTGTAACCTTGAACTACTGGGCTCAAGAGATCCTCCTCCTAGGCCCCCAGGCATGTGCCACCATGCCAGGCTCACTTTACATTTTTTAGTGCTGGGTTCTCACTATGTTGCACAGGCAGGTCTTGAACTCCTGGCGTCAAGTGATTCTCCCACCTCGGCCACCCAAAGTGCTAGAATTATAGGCGTGAGCCACCACCCCCGGCTTGTATGCATTCTTATTCAATATATAGAACTACCTACTTTACAGGTAAGAGAATATAGATACAAAGGAAACCCTTTCACGGCATACAGGCATAAACACCAGAAGAAAGACTGGAACAGCACTCATATTACATCCATACCACAGACCTCCTAATGTCTGAGAAATACCCATGTCCCCACTAGGGGCACCCATAGGTCTTTAAACAGCCAAAAATAACAGAGATGAGGAAGAAAAAGATGGAAACCAGGTGAGGTCTGAAAACACAATCTCAAGTGACCTTGGAAACAAAGAATATGGTGGTCCCCTCCACTCAGGTGAGGTTTTGTTTTCTGCAGTTTTGCTTTCCTTTGTACCAGTTACCTGTGGTCAACTGAAGTAACAGCAAAACTCTTGAATGGAACATTTCAGAAATAAACAATTCATAGGTTTTAAATTACATGCCGTTCAGAGTAGCATGAAGAAATATCTTGCTGTCCAGCCTAGGATGTGAATCACCACTTTGTCCAGCATATCCATATGCTATGTACACTACCTGCTCAGAAGTCACTCAGTAGCCATCTTGGTTATCAGATCAACTGCGGCAGTACTGATCTATTTCATTACTAGTTATTGTTGTGAATCTCTTATTGTATGTAATTTACAAATTAAACTTTATCATAGGTATGTACGTACAGAGAAAAAATCGTATAGATAGGGCTTGGTACTGTCTGTGGTTTCAGGCATGAGTGGGGGTCTTGGAACATAATCCCTTGAGGATAAGGGGGGACTACTGTGCTCTGAACAAGAGCATCTGAATTCCTTCCACAGAATTATACCCTGCCTGCCCACAGTCCCCTTTCTAGAGGTCTCTACTTTCAAGAGGCACCTTACCTGTTAATACCAGTCCTGCCTCCTAATGTAAGGAGAAGTTGGTGTGAAAATGCAGTGTAGATAAAACAACACAATCATTAGATACTTACCCTTGGTGCACTCACACACACAGATGCATGGGCACACACGTAGACACACAACTCTGCTGAGAATAACCCACTTGGAATAACCCTTGATAGTGTGATAGGAGGAAGCTCACTTCCTCCACTGACAAAAATTAATGCAAGGAAGAAACTGTAGAATACTATTTACCAGTTCATGACACCCTGATTATCTGAAAGACTATCATCTAAAATAATCTATGCATTACTCAGGCAGGTTCCTGAGTGGCAATAAATATTCACCTATGAACCTAACTCCATGGGGCATACCCTTAAAGACTAAAAGAAGGAATATGATTTACAGGAACTCTTCTGGAACCTGCTGGAATTTAAATATACCCTAAATCTCCAATAGCAAGCCAAAAAAGAACTTTCAAGTACAAGACGAATCTCGTAAGACGAGGTTACGTTGGAGTCCTTAAATGCCCCGTGGCTGCATAAGAAATCAGCTTGTCAAATACTCACTTTAAAAGAAAAAGCAATCGGATAAGAATAAAGCATATCTTCCCTCTCTGAAGCTGAGGTCAATTTAAGTAAGATACAAACTCCAAGGAAGGAGGGGTGGACTTGGAAGTTTGTTTAGATCTTTTCTAATGCTTCTCATTCTACAGTTACAATTCTACAGTTCAGAGAAGGAGCCTCGTTTCTGCATTCTTCTGCCAGATTCAGCTATTCACGCTAAGCAAAAGAGAAATTTTAAAAAACAAAGGTATGGCATGGAAAAATAATTTGAGCACTTTGGGAGGCTGAGGCAGGTGGATTGCCTAAGCCCAGGAGTTTCGGACCACCTGGCCAACATGGCAAAATCCCATCTCTACCAAAAAAAAAAAAAAAAAAGTACAAAAATTATCCAAGTAGCCATGCTTGGTGGCTCATGCCTGTAGTCCCAGCTACTCAGGAGGCGGAGGTGGGAGGATGGCGAGAACCTGGGAAGCAGAGGTTGCAGTAAGCTGAGATGGCGCCACTGTACTCCAGCCTGGGCAACAGAGTAAGACCCTGTCTCAAAAACAAAAAGTAATAAGAAAAAAATATGACCATAGAAAAAGCCATAAAATATTTTCCTAACTTCTCTACTTCCGGGCATCTGTCCTAAGGAAACAAATCCGTTGCTTACGTTATCTATCACCGTGCGTTCCTCCAGGGGCTGCACTGGATAGCGTGTCAGGACACCAGGCCCAGCAGAATTCTCCCACTGCACACCAGCCTGCTTTTGCAGAGCAGAGAAGCTGTTGGGCCTTTCTATATCCCTTCCTTCCACTCAGATATGGGCTGTGCAGAAGCACGGAGAACAACTTTTGATGCAGTTTCTGTCTAAAACTCTGGGTAAAAGTTCAGATGGCTGAACAGAGAAATGTGTATCATCTAAATCTAAGGTATCTCCCATGTCAACACAAAAATCATAGTTGGATTGAGGTTTTCACAAAAACATTTAAAGCCAGTGAAGCCCACCCTATCTCTCATCCTTCCTATGCTTTACCGAAACCTCCAACGCCTTTGTGCGCTAATCTCCCTACTCATGATGCCACGCCTTCCTGCGTTTTCCTTCAGATGTGCTTCGTTCGTCACATGCCACCCCAAGATCTGCCGTGCACATCATCCATCACTCTCCATGGAATCTGCTAGAATTGTGAACAAACTATCCACGCCCTGACCTCTTCACTGAACGTTCTCTGAACCTCCTCTTCAACAGCTCTGGTTCTCTGCCAAATATACCACACTCAAGTGGTTGAAGCTCATTCTCTCACTCCCTGGGGCCCTGGAAAAAAGAGGGTAAATATTTTTCTAAACTCTTCCCTACCACTAGGTGGTGACTCTTCCACCGTGCTTTCCAAAGCTAATCTCTGCTCCAACACCTCTTCTTTTAATGCCCACTTTCTTAGCACTTCATCACTCTTAGTAGCAAATAACCTTCTTCTAAGTGACAGAAACAAACAAACATCGTCATTGGACAAAAATCCCTTTGGATTCCTGCCCCCAAGCTATAAAAAGTACCTACACCCAGACCTTCCTTTCCTTCCTAGCACCTATCTCAGTGGAAGAGGTGAGTTTCTTCCTAACAAACTATCAAAGGTTATTCCAAGTGTGCAATATTCTCTTCTCCCTCCATCATCCCCACATAGTATATTTACTTAACCCCTATATGGCATCTACATATTCCACAAGCAAATACAATTCTCTTAAGTTTCATATACGTATGAATATAGTAATATGTAATATATATGTTGTATGTCTTACATATAGTATATATATGTATGTGTGTGTTTATATATATGTGTGTGTGTGTGTGTGTGTGTGTGTATATATATATACATGTATTTTCCCCCCTCCTTGCCTTGATCCATTAATACCCTCTAGTTATCTAGGTAACATGCATTCTTTTTTTGTGCGTGTGATGGAGTCTTGCTCTGTTGCCCAGACTAGAGTGCAGTGGTGTGATCTCAGCTCACTGCAACCTCCACCTCCTGGGTTCAAGTGATTCTCCTGCCTCAGCCTCCCAAGTAGCTGGGATTACAGGCGCCTGCCACCATGCCTGGCTAATTTTTGTATTTTTAGTAGAGATGGGGTTTCACCATGTTGGCCAGCCTGGTCTCGAACTCCTGACCTCAGGTGATCCACCCATCTCGGCCTCCCAAAGTGCTTCGATTATAGGCATAAGTCACCACGCCTGACCCATGACCAGGATTTTCAAAACACTGGTCAGTTCTTACGATGTCCTTGTGTTCAATTCTCAACACACTACTCTCTGATTTCTACTCTACTAACAATGCTCAATGCTTACCAAGAGCATCCACGCGGCCAAGCCCCAGGAAAACTTATCTGTCTTACCTAGATTGACTTTACTAGCAATGTGAACACAGTCTATGATGAACCTTTTATAGAAATGTTCTCTTCCTTTGATTTCTTTGTCAATCTCTAGTTCGCTGATTTTCTCCTACCCTTTGTTCATTCCAGCTCACCCTTTTCTTCCTCTGTTCATGCCTTAAGTATTCCTGTTTTGCAGGACTCCAGTCTTGGCCCTATGCTTGTCTTATTTTTGAGCTTCATGGTGAAGACCACTCAAATCTAAGAGTTTCACCTACACTTGATCTTGCTCCTAATAACCCATGTTCAGAAAGATCTCAGCATTAATTCCCAGACCCACATGTCTAATTGATTCCATTGAACTCTGTTGTTCTACAGATCCTTTAACCCTCAACATGTTCCAAACTGAACTCATCGTTTTCCCTTCCAACCCGTTCATGCTCCTATAATGTTGTATTGTTACATGAATTTCTCACTATCTATCTAGTTTACTCATCCAGAAACACAAGTCATCCTCAACTACCTCCTCTTACACCCAACATGTAATGAGTCCAGGGATTCCTGTAGATTTTCTCACTTTTAAATTGGTCGTCTTTTAATTTGTCCTCAAGTAAATTTGCTTGAGTTGTTAAAATAAACTCTGAATTAATCTCCCATTCTCTAAGCAAATGCTCTATCTAATCCATTTTGTGCACAACTGCATGATACCAAATTGTACATACAGCAAAATTTTAAGTATATAAAATTCTCATAGTAATTGTCAAGTATAGTCAATTTTATTCATATTTTTCTGTATTTTCCAAATGTTCCACAAAAATCATGCATTTTTGAAGCAAAAAAATTCTACTACTTAATAATGTGAAAACAAATAGAAATGATATCATACCATGTATCAGTGGCATATCTAGAAGACAACGCTCCTGTGTATGCTGAGGCCTTGGAAATAACTCGCGTCGCTTGGTGTTGACATAAAGGCAAATCTTCTTGCTCCCTACTTTCAGCCACAGCAGGAAGGTCAATGAGCAAGCTAGGACCTTGGCCATCATTCGGGATCATGCCTGAAGAGCAAATCCAGATGACAGTGAACACAAGAGGCATTCATTCTCCTTCAGTCATTCAACAACTAGGTATGCACACCTGCTATGGGTGGGGACTCTTCCAGGTAGGAGACTGAAATATTAAAGTAAATAAATAAAGTCTTCAGTATATCACATGATGATAAGTACAATGGTGAAAAATAAAGAAGGAAGGAGCATAGGAATTGTTCAACAGAAGATGGTTACAATTTTCAGTGGCCTTACTGAAAAAATGACATTTATGCAATATTAATATTACTAAAAAATCTAATCTTACTACAAATTTTTTCTTATCAACTAAGCTTTCCCAGTAAGTACTGTGACATTTCACTGATTTAAAAAAAATCCACAGAATAACAAATAAACCAAATAAAATCACTTATATTTTTAAAAGAGCTTTGTTTATAAATTTCAGAATTCTTTTACACTTGTTCTTATTTATTTACTTATTTATTGAGATGGAGTCTCGCTCTGTTGCCCAGGCTGGAGTGCAGTGGTGCAATCTTGGCTCACTGCAACCTCCACCTCCTGGGTTCATGCAATTCTCCCTGCCTCAGCCTCCTGAGTAGGTGGGACTATAGGCATGGTGGTGCATGTAAAAATACAGTATTTTTTGTATTTTTAATAGAGGTGGAGTTTTGTCATGTTGGCCAGGCTGGTCTCGAACTCCTGACCTCGGCCTCCCAAAGTGCTGAGATTATAGGCATAAGCCACTGAGCCCAGCCTACACTTGTTCATTTAATTCTCACATCAAACTATGAGTTAGAAAGAAAAGATACTATCAACCATATTTTATAGATAGGAAAAGTAAGGTTAAGAAATTTGGCCCATTTTTTACCAGCAAGTAAAAGGTACAGATTGCCATAATTTATTTAAATATTTACAACAAACTTCCTAACAAATTCTTATTAATTTTGATTTCTACTTAGGAGGGTTCACATAATAAGCTTGAGAAGTTATGGTGGGGACAACATTTTTAGACTTTACTTCTTATGTCCTTGCCAGTAGTATATTACACAATTATCATATTAATTTAAGAAATTAAAAGCTAGTATTTTCTCCTTATATTTGCCCAAATAAACTAAAGAAAGCTCCTCTAGTCTCACCACAATAGATCATATGTTGATATATGTATATATAGTCAGCACAGTGTAACTATCATATATAGGTGTCTGTGTGGGTATGTCCGCATATGTTATCTGTACACATCCTCACACACACACTATATAAAGATAATGTCTAAGGTACAATACATAGGATTCAACACCATGGTTATCTAAGGAGAGAAAGTTGGGCTGTGTTATAATGGTTTATCGTTTAAAAACAGAATAGCAGCCAGGCACAGGTGCTCACACCTGTAAACCCAGCACTCTGGGAGGTTGAGCAGGCGGACTGCTTGTGCCCAAGAATTCAAGACCAGCTTGGGCAACATGGTGAAACTCCATTAGCCAGGCTTGGTGTAGCGTGCCTGTAATCCCCGCTACTTGGGAGGCTGAGCAGGAGGATCACTTGAGTCCGAGAGGATGATCACAGTAAGGCATGATGTCACCACTGCACTCCAGCCCGGGCAACAGTGCGAGACCTTGTCTCAAAAACAAAAACAAAAGGAAAAAGAAACCCAGAAGCTCTGGGGTTGAGGGAGAAAGCTGAGAGGAACCAGCTATGAGGGTAGACAGGTAGCATTTCATAGAAACTAGAAAAAATCTGGAAGACTATAAAGCAAATCATGTTTATCCCTGCAAACGATTTTTTATTTCTACTTTTTGTTTATCCTCCAGGAACACACTTCACTGTTTTTTGTCACCAAGCATACAACCTCTTCAAGAACTCTGCCTTTCTTGTTCTCTCAGCCATATCCCAAGGTTTTCACACAGGGCTGACTTCCTTTACTCAAGTGTCAGTCAAATGTCATCCTACTAAAACAGCCAAATCACTCCATATAAATAAAATAGGACTCCTCCTCAAAATTTCTCTTTTTACTGCTTTATTTTCCCAGAGTGCTGGGTTTACAGGTGTGAGCACCTGTGCCTGGCCGATATTCTGTTTTTAAACAATCAACCATTATAACACAGCCCAACTTCCTCTCCATAGAAAACCAAGGTGCTGAATCCTATGTATTGTACCTTATGCATTATCTTTATGTAGTGTGTGTGTGAGGATGTGTATAGACAATATATGTGGACATACCCACAAAGACTCTTATATATGATAGTTATACTGTGCTTACTATATATACATATATCAACATATGATCTATTGTGGTGATTGTATTACACATTAATTTGTCATTGTCTGCCCTCACCAGAACGTGGGCTCCACGAGGGCTGACTTTATTTTGTTCACTGCTCTACCTTCATGATCCAGAGCAGGATTCCTATACAGAAAGCACCTGGCAAACATTTCTGAACAAACAAATACAAAACTTGCTTAATAAACCAACAATGAGTTTTTAAGTTTAAAAAATAATGAGTATACTGTTTTCCTAGGTAGAAAAACAAAGAAATATAGAGCTGATGTCCTGATTACAATGGAAGTTGCATCTATTGTGCATCCCATAGTCCATTCTACAGAACATGTGTATCTTTGATAATCTTCTAAAGGAGCTATGAGACTTCCAATTAAATACCTTCAGTGATTTGGGGATGTCATTTATTCAAACGATAAAAACAGGGAGCCTAAAATAATTGTGCCTAATCAAACAAGGTAAATGACGAGCCTAGAATTGGGCCAGATGCAATAGTTCATGCCTGTAATCCCAGCACTTTGGGAGGCCGAGGCGGGCTGATCACCTGAGGTCAGGAGTTCGAGACCAGCCTGGCCGACATGGTGAAACCCCGTCTCTACTAAAAATACAAAACTTAGCCAGGCGTGTTGGCACACACCTCTAATCTCAGCTACTTGAGAGGCTGAGGTAGGAGAACCGCTTGAACCCTGGGAGGCAGAAGTTGCAATGAGCTGAGATTGTGCCACTGCACTCTAGCCTGGACAACAGAGACCTTGTCTCAAAAAAAATAATAATAAAATAAAATTAAATTTATCTACAAGGTATTGTGCAAAGCATTGGGAAACCTAAGGCACTATTTGTTCTCTATTTTTTAGAAAGGCAGAGAAAAGCATGATGTTTGGAAGAGTTTAGCATGCACAGCTCAGTGCAGAGTGAAGAATACATAAAGCAGGCAGTGAAGACATCCAGGAGAGCCCAGCCGTGGGGACCTCGTATGCTGGGGAGGACCCTGAATTTCACCTGTCTGCTCAGAAGCCATATCCTGCGGCCTATGGGGGCAGCTTCACAGGAACCACGAACTACAGTTAAAATAGGTTTTTGTTGTTGTTTTTATTTGAGACAGTCTCATTCTGCTGCCCAGGCTGGAAGTGCAATGGTGTGATCTCGGCTCACTGCAACCTCCACCTCCCAGGTTCAAGAGATTCTCATGCCTCAGCCATCTGAGTAGCTGAGATTACAGGTGTGCACCATCACACCCAGCTAATTTTTGTATTTTTAGTAGAGACAGGGTTTTGTCATGTTGGCCAGGTTGGTCTTGAACTCCTGACCTCAAGTGATCTGCCTGCCTTGGCCTCCCAAAGTGTTGGGATCACAGGTGTGAGCCACCATGGTGGCCAAAACAGTTTTTCCTGCAATGTATTTCTTTGAACACTATGTTCTTGGAAGAAAAACTATTTTAAAATATTACATATTATGTTATTAAAGTATGACTGAAAGCTCAAACATGTGTAAGATGATGAAATACTATTGTACTGGGTTTAGTAATAATAACGTAGCTTTTATCCAAATGACAAGAAATCAAGCGTATACTCTTATCAAGATTGTGGACATCTATTTTTTGGTTTGCCTACCTTTTATGGATTAAAAAAAAATATCTGGTGGAGCTTAACCTAGAAAATGTTAACAAAGGGGACTCCATGTTTAGGTCCCCTTCCACAAACACTCCCTTCGTGGAAGCCGTCTTTCTCTCTCCTGGATTTCCCCTCTGGAGTCCCCTTCCACACTCTCTTGTGGAAGCCTCTCTTCCCCTCCTAAACTCCATCTCTCTCTATTCCCTTCCACTCAGTGTGGAAGCTGCTTTCATCTCCTGGATTCCATCTTTCTGCATTCTCTCACTCAGTGTGAGAGTTAGCTGTTTCTTTCTCTTTCCTTCCCATTTCTCTCTCTCTTTAAATAAATCACTTTCTACAAATATATATACATGTATATATACATATGTGTGTATATATATACGCATATGTATATATAATATATATAGGTATATATGTATGTATGCATATATATATATAAAACAAAAAAGTTCTAATGCACCTTCTATGTTTTCTTTTGTTTCCCATCAAATAAATGTGAGAAGACACAAAACTTAAGTATTTTACTTCTGTGGCTATTGGGGGAAGAAGCTGATGCTACAAAAATACCTTTAAGTGTATCCAACATTCTGTGGCTGTTCTTCATTCACGCATTCACAAATTCACTTAACAAATGTTTATAGAGCACCCGCTACTTGCCAGGAACTATTCTAGGGATTAAAGATAGCTAAGTGTACAAAACTGACAAAGTTCCTATTCTTGGGAGCTAACATTCTAGTGGAGAGAGACACAGAATGAACACAGCATGATTTCAGGACATGGTAAGTTCTTAGAAGGAAAATAAAGCAACAGGTAGGAACAGAAAGAAACAGGTTATTTTAGATGGAGTAGTTGGTCGGGTGTGGTGGCTCATGCCTGCAATCGCAGCACTTTGGGAGGGTGAGGCAGGTGGATCGCTTGAGGTCAGGAGTTTGAGACCAGCCTGGCCAGCATGCTGAAATCCCGTCTCTACCAAAAATATAAAAATTGGCTGAGTGTGGTGGTGTGCACCTGCAATCCCAGCTACTCAGGGGGCTGAGGCAGGAGAATTGCTTGAACCTGAGAGGTGGAGGTTGCAGTGTGCCAAGATTGTGCCACTGTACTCCAGCCTGGGTTAGAGAGTGAGACTCTGAAAGAAGGAAGAAAGGAAGAAGGAAGGAAGAAAGGAAGGAAGGAAGGAAGGAAGGGAGGGAGGGAGGGAGGGAAGGAGGAAGGGAGGGAGGGAAGGAGGAAGGGAGGGAAGGAAGAAGGGAGGGAGGGAAGGAAGGAGGGAGGGAGGGAAGGAAGGAAGGAGGGAGGGAGGAAAGGAGGGAAGGAGGGAAGGAGGGAAGGAGGAAAGGAGGGAAGGAGGGAGGGAGGAGGGGAGAGGGGAGGGGAGTGGAGGAGAGAGGGAGGGGAGGGAAAAAAATTGATGATAGTCAAAAACCTGGATGGTGATAGGGAATCAGTCCCATAAAAATCTGCAATACCATTCTAGGTAGAAGGAACAGCATGAGGAGGAGGCTTGATTTGAAAAAGATGGAATTTTACCAATATTTTGATTTGCCACTATAAAAAGCACTGTTGCTTAGCTATATACCAAGCAAAAGAAGGGGACTCAGAAGTAGTTGGGCTTCAAAAAAAATGAAAAATTCTAAAACCCTAAGTCCTGTGAGCCTTATTTGTTCTTCTCACCACACCGAAGAACTCTGCAATGATAGAAAACAAATTACCAACAACGTCTCTCCCATCTGAGAAGGGGGCAGTTAGGTTATGGGTCCAAACAGCACAGCTTCAAACTTTTCTTCTTCTTTTTTTTTTAAATATTTTATCTTATTTGATGGAGGCTTCATTCTACATCATCAGGGTCACTTTGGATCTTAGCTCTGTCATCCAACATACTGACAATCCCTCCCAATTTCCTGGAATGTGGGAATTTATCCAACGTGCCATCTGTGCCATTACCCCATTTCCCGAGAAAAAGAATCACCAAGGCAACCTGTGCATAGAGCCCTATGTTAGAGACCTGTACCTATGCTGGCATCAACCCACTAATCACTCATAGGATGTACCACAGTCATTCATTATAAATTCTCAGCCAATTGTTCTTATCATGTTTATAAGAATGTGATGAATTGTGTGCCTTAAAGTTCGTAGTACATTTGGGGTACTTGCCTTAGTAGAAAATCATAAATGACCTCTGACTAAGCAACATAGATACTCTTAAAACTTTAAAAAATAGAGATGGGGTCTCCCTGTGTTGCCCAGGCTGGTCTCAAACTCCTGGGCTCAAGTGATCCCCCTGCCTTGGCCTCCCAAAGTGCTAGAATTACAGGTATGCGCCACCATACCCAGCCTAAAACTTCTCCTATAATCATCACCAAAATTCTGTCCATGTATTCATCTTAAACAAATTTTCTAGTAAACTCCCTATCACTTCTGCTTTTTATTTCATCTAGAAACTTTGGAATCAGGGTCGAATCAGTTGGCAATGTCACAGATATGGGGAGAAAATACTGTCACGCTCAGGTGGGATTAAAGTAAGTCTCAGTTACCGTTCCCTCATTCCGTACACCCCTTTGCTCCCATGCACGAGGGCCTCCATTCCCACACGACAATCAAAGCACTGCTCCACAGTTCTAGCTTTGCCAATGTCTACCTCCTCCCCACTAAGGAGGAAGGATTGGAGCAGGACTGGCACTCAGGCAGGAATGGCCTAAAAGCAGAGTTTTCAGAACAGAGCTGGTTCTATTTACAGAGTTGTGTCCCATCCAGCTACACTGGAAAAAGCAGCCTGTTAAACTACACCACTCAGTTGCACAAGTTGGTGCAGTTTAAAGCTTCATGAACTGCTCCACATAAAGGCTACCTGTGCCCTCAGCTCCATTGCCTCCTCCATGGACTCTGTCGGGGCACAGACACACATTTCTCACCTGTCACAGCGCTTTGCACAGTTACACTTTACAGAGCTGTCCACCAAGTGCACCGAGAAACCCAGGAGCCCATGATAAAGGTTGAGTCCTTTAGGGTCTCTGCAGTTGTCAGGTAATGGTCACAACAGAGGTACAGAGGTTAGAAAAACAGAGAATTTTTTAAAAAAGAAATGCTCCAGGATAAATGAAAGTTCTATGAATCCATTCTCACACTGCTATAAAGAACTACTGGAGACTGGGTAATTTATAAAGAAAACAGGTTTAATTGACTCACAGTTCCACAGGGTGTACAGAAAGCATGGTTAGAAAGGTCTCAGGAAATGTACAATCATGGCAGAAGGGTGAAGGGGAAGCATGCATGTCTCCACATGGCAGCAGGAGAGGGAGCAAGCATGTGCAAAGCGGGAAGTGCCACACACTTAAACCATCAGATCTCTTGAGAATTCACTCACTATCATGAGAAGAGAGCAGGAGATCTGCCCTCATGATACAAGCACCTCCCACAGAGGTGATTGCCTTATTCCACTGCTCCTCCACCCAAACACCAGGCCATATAGCTAGTCTATTTCTTTTGATCTTGACACTATAAACCAGTGGTTTATACAGTATAAACAAGGGGACATTTGGCAGTATCTGGAGACATTTTGATTTTCATCATGACTGGGAGAGGGTGTGCCACTGGCATCTAGGGTTACAGGACAAGGACACTGCTAATCATCCTACAGTGCACAGGTACCCACACCAAGCAAAAGACTCATCTGGTCCAAAAGGATGTCATAGTCTGCTATAGTATTGATAGTTTGCTAAGGTATTGAATAGTACTGAAACAGATACTATTTATTCATTTACTCAAACATTTGTGCTATAAATCTTCTCCAACTGTTTAATAGAGAACTATAAGAAATGTGGTGAATTTTAGAAAGCAGTATACCTGGAGAGCTTTACTTTGCGGGGTGGGGGGGGGCAGGGTGGGAAGTCCCATTTTTCTCCTAATCATGATCTTGAAAACTTTGGTAGGTTCATCTAATCTTAGATATTTAAAATTAAGTATCTATATTCTTTTTTTTTTCCGTGCTGTTTTGACCTACAAAACAGCATGTATGTATGTTAGCATCTCAGAGATGCCTTCAATTTTTAGCCTTAAGTATTTCATTTTTCAGAATTTACTTAAGAGAATCCTAATCTCACATAAAACTGTTACATCACTTTCTACAGCCCTCTCTCCCCTTGCAACATATTACCATACAACACAGAGAAAGACTTATAAGTAGTCATAACAAGTGAAGGACAGCATAAATCCTCAGCAATGGCTCTATAAATCCCAGTGCTACGAAAGCATTTAACAATCTCCCTAGGGATGTCAATTTTATAATGACATTCGCTATTTCAGTGTTAGATGAAGGAAAATTCTTTTTTAAAGTCAAGTTTTAAAACATATATAAGAATCGATATTGAGGGGAGGCAGGGAGAGGCACTATACTTTTAGAATTCTTTTATGGAAACTAAGTTATTAATGTACTAAAATTGACTATAATATATGGCTATAAAAATGTTTCATAAATGTTTAAAATATGCCTCTCTCTATTAATATTTAACAGTCCCATTAAATGAGCTAACAATATTACTCAAGAGCATCAGAGATTTTAATATATATTAATAGAGACTTATTTCAGATTTGACGTAAGGTACCAGTCTGAGTTTCAATCCATACTGCTAATAAAATGCAACATGAGGCAGAGAAAATGTAGCCATCTCAGAAAACAGAATCTGAAAACTCTAAGTTGGAATCTGAGGCATGTTTATTCTTTCAGGTATTCTGAAGCAGATTAATTAAGAAGCAGATGTAAATCAAAATATCACAATGAATAAAAACAAGACAATGAAATTCATGTATACAAACATAAAACTGAGAAATTGCAAAATAATATAATTTGTGTTTATGAGAAACAAAAGCCACAAACCTAAATCCAGACTACTTTTTGCTAATGAATTAAAATTTTCCAGGTCATCAAATCTGCCTTGCTGACTGTTTCCTTCAGTTGATGGTACAGATGGTAGGGACTCCATGACAAAATTTTCATTCATCTTGAGAGGAAGAAAAATAAAAATGCGTTAGTACTTTGTGAAAAAAATGTAATACTGCACAGTTATTCAACCCAAATAATAATGATATTGAAATAACTAGCACTGCAAACAGGCATTCTCAAGTCACGGTTTATACTGTGGTAAGCAGTAACAAATGCTGGTAACAATATCTGCAGAAGTATAGGCTAGGAAAATCTGTTTATTACAAGCCTGAGATTTTTAACCAAAAAAACTGTTTTATAAACATTAATAAGTGAATTTAAATAAACATTTACCAAGGTAGAGGACTAAAAGGTCTGTCAAGTCAAGCAAAGTCAATTGCTAATACACACAGCCTCCTGATTGTATTGCTCTGGTAATCTACAGATAAACAGCTTCCCTGCTGACTCCAAAAGATGTGATGAATTTTCATAGCTCTAAGCATTTGTTAGCACTCTTATCTGCCTGGTGACTACCTAGTTACCCAAACCTAAAACCTACAGGTAAGTGCTGTCGATAAGTTAACTGCATTTTCCTCCCATCTTGCTTTTATATACAGGTCTTTTATGGTTTTCCAAAGTCATAATCTTCGAGAATGCTAAAATGTTTATGTTCCTTCTGACCTCACAAATTCATATGTTAAAATCCTAACCCCCAAGGTGAAGATATTTGGAGGTGGGGACTTTTTTGGGGTGATAGAGTTATGAGGGCAGAGCCCTGGTGAATGGGATTAGTATTGTCTTTATAAAACAGGCCCAAGAGGCCAGGCATGGTGGCTCACGCCTGTAATCCCAACACTTTGGGAAGCTGAGGCAGGTGGATCACTAGAACAGGCATTTGAGACCACCCCAGCCAACACGGCAAAGACCTGTCTCTACTAAAAATACAAAAATTAGGCAGGCATGGTGGGGCATGTCTGTAATCCCAGCTACTTGGGAGGCTGAGGAGGGAAAACGGCCTGAGCCTGGGAGAGTGAGGCTGCAGTGAGCCATGATCATGACATTCCAGCCTGGTCAACAGAGTGAGACCTTGTCTCAGTAAATAAATAAATAATTTAAAAAATTTCATAAGTATAAATTTAAATGACTATTTTATCGCCACCATAGGGATACACCATAATTCATTTAAGGTACATAACACTATGTTATTCTTTATTGTTGGAATTTTGGTTGTTCAAAACAAAATGTGAATTTTACCTTTCACAGTGGTCTACTTTTTCTGTAAAGTGGTCAGACTTCAATGGTAAGAGAAGGATCTTTCATAAGCTGGTATGCAAAATGCTTCCAGCTTTCCAAAGTAGATTACTAATTTGGTAATGCTGGGCAAGGTGGCAGAGCCCCAGCAACAGAAAGTGATTGACACGCAGGTAGTAAAGAGAATTTACTGACCACAGTACAGGTTTGAAAAGTAAAGTTTTATTAGACAGAAGGAACACTGTAGCAAGGCAATTCAGCAAGAGAGGACTGAGTGGGCCTTGGTGGATTTTCCTTAGGGGTATTTATAGACCTTAAAGCAGGAGCTTAAGGGTAATTTAGACCATATTATTTTTGCAGGTCATGATAGACGATTACATTTGTAGACATGTTGGTGTCTTGATGTCAGGCTGCACAATGAGTTTCGATACACATGCGTTCAGGAGATATATAGAAATTCTAGCTACTTACAAATTTTGGGAAAACAGCCTGGTAACCAGATGCTGGCTTTAGATAACAGAGAAGGCTAATTGCTTCTAAATTCCTCAGATGAAGGGTTTTGCCTCTGGATGGACTGCTTGATGACCACCAGGTGATCTTTGCTCTCCTCATTATACCTCTAAATTTCTCAGATAAGGAGTTTTGCCTCCAGATGGTCCGCTTGCTGGCCACCAGGTGATTTTTGCTCACCTCAGGTAAGTATGTAACTATATCAGATACCTAATGGAGCCTAAGGAACATAGAATTTGACGCAAATATTAAACAGAGATAAGAAAGGGGATCTGACTACATAGTTGCCTAGAATAAAATAAGCAAGAGCTTCTTACAAAAAAGAGTAAGGGGGAGATGGAAGGAACTGAGTACTTAAGAAAAAGAAAGTTATAGTAATTTTGGGCCATTTGGACTTTCTAAACAAAGTTAATGGCAATTCTGTTAATAGTAAATGAAGAAGAGAATTGATACCCAAATCTGGGATTTCAATACATTGGGTATGATAGGTGAGATCTTTATAAACATGAATTTCTGACTGGGTGCAGTGGCTCATGCCTGTGATCTCAGCACTTTGGGAGGCCAAGGTGGGTGAAACACCTGAGGTAGGGAGTTCAAGACCAGCCTGACCAAATGGAGAAACCCCATCTCTAGTAAAAATACAAAAAAATTAGCTGGGCGTGGTGGCGCATGCCTGTAATCCCAGCTACTCAGGAGGCTGAGGCAGTGGAATTGCTTGAACCCGGGAGGCGGAGGTTGTGGTGAGCTGAGATCCCGCCATTGAACTGCAGACTGGACAACAGGAGTGAAACTCAGCCTCAAAACAAAATAAAAATTAAAAATCAAATAAACATGAATTTCTTTTCTTTTTTAAATAGAGAAGATTTTTTTTTTCTAAAAAGAGAAGAAAATAAGAACATAGAATTACTCTTTGGTAAATAACCCTCAGGCAAAAACAAAAAACAAAAAAAAGCCCAGATCTTTAAAAAAATGGGCAAAGGACTTGAACAGATATTTCTCCAAAGAATACATAAAGATGGCCAAATAAGCACATGAAAGGATGCTCAATATCACTAATTGTTAGGGTAATGCAAACCAAAACACAAGATAGCACTTTATACTCCTAAGAAACAACAAAAAGCCAACAAACAAGTGTTGGAGAGACTGTGGAGAAATTTGAAACCTTGTGCTTTGCTAATATAAACCTTGTGCTTTGGAAATATAAACTGGTGCAGCTGTTTGCTGTAGAAAACAGTATAGTTCCCCAAAAATTAAATATAGAATTAGCATATGATCCAGCAATTTTATTGCTGAGTATATACTAAATAGAACTGAAAGCAAGGATTTCAACAGATATTTATATACCAATGTTCATAACAGCATTATTCACAATGGTCCAAGGTAGAAACAACCTAAATACCCTTCAACAGATGAATGGAAAAACAAAATATAGCATATATGGTGCAGACCTATAGGAACCTCAGAGTTGGTATTGATAGGGACAGGAGGCACAGAAATTTAAGGGTGGGTCCCTGACAAAACCCCACCCACAAGCCTAAAACCATGGCCTAAAGTGGAAACTTCTATCCCTGTTTTCCAGCTCAAATGTTACCTTTTTTTAAATGACCCATGGCCTCGCCCTGCCCCATCCTGTGCCTATAAAGACCCTAGACTCAGCCAGCAGAGAGAAGCAGCTGGATGCCAGGGACTACAGGTGGACTTCAGAAGGAAGTGGCTTGACTTTAGAGGGACAGCTTGACGGTGTAACTTCAGAGAAGAATCCAGCTGGAGACAGCTGGATTTCTGAGGAAGATTACCTACCCACCTCCCCATCCCCTTTGTAGCTCCCCTTCCCACTGAGAGCTACTTTATTGGCAATAAAATCCCCGAATTTACCATCCTTCAATTTGTTCGTGCAGCCTCATTTTTCCTGGATACCAGACAAGAGCTCAGGAGCCACAAGTGTGGATACAAGAGGCTGTCACACTGGCCCTTTGCCCTCGCTGGCAGAGGGCAGCCACCTCATGTGAAAAGGCAGAGGGCCCACTGAACTCTTAACAGGCCATCTACAGATGGCAGAGCTAAAAGGGCACTGTAACATGCTCTCTGGGGCTTCAGGGGTCACAGGCATCTCCCCTAGATGTTGCCACTGGGCCTGCACAGAAATTTGCTCCTGCTGGTGCCTGAAAGTGCTTGCCCTGGCTCCTGCACCCACTCACTGAGTGCTCCCCTCCCACAAGGGTTAACGCTGCAGATCTGGTGAGTGGAGTTTAACCCTGCCAATGCCAAAACGGTCAGCTAGTTCCAGCACTCATGTACTCTACTTTTCACCTTGTTTGCTCACATGCTCCCTCCCTCGAGGAGAGTGGTAGGCTGAGTAAACAGGGCACCCCTGTTGCAAATCCCACGAAGGGGTAAGGGAAATATCCTGCTTCAGTATGAAGATTATTATAAATGAAAGACATTTTAGATGTAATGGCTGCAGAACAAAGCCTTCTCACAGCTTCCCTTATGTGACTAAAAGCAGCAAGTTCTAGAAAATTAGGCTATCAAACATTCCCTCTTGAGAAGGGTCAACCCCCAGGGACACTGAAGGTAAGCCTGACATAAATGCGCTCTTGAGGAATGGCAATAAGCCAAGAGAAGGATCAGTGGCACCTGCATTTAAAAAAGTATCAACATAAAAAAATTATCAGCATAATAAGAATGTTATCTCCATTTGTTCTACTAAAAACCCATCTGTCTTTCCTAAACCCAGTTGTTCTTCTCATAGCTTTTTCTCTGCCCTCCCTTTCCCCCTAAGTTACATACGTAAGCTCTAACTTTAATCATTTAGTGAGCTTGCTGCTTTTGCTGCATTCATATGCGTATAAATAAACCTTTATTCTCCTGTTAATGCCTTCTGTCAGTTTAATTTGCACTCTTCCAGGCACAAAATAGAGGATAGAGGAGAAGTTTTTTCTTCAAGACATATACCTACAAGGAATTATTATTCAGCTTTTTTTTTTTTTTTTTTTGAGATGGAGTCTTGCTCTGTTGCCCAGGCTGGAGTGCAGTGGTGCCATCTCAGCTCACTGCAACCTCTGCCTCCCAGGTTGAAGCTATCCTCCTAGCTCAGCCTCCAGAGTAGCTGGAACCACAGGCACGTGCCACAACGCCTGGCTAATTTTTCTATTTTTAGTAGAGACGGGGTTTCACCATGTTGACCAGGCTAGTCTCGAATTCCTGACCTCAAGTGATTCACCCACTTCGGCCTCCCAAAGTGCTGGGATTACAGGCATGAGCTACCATGCCTGGCCCATTCAACTTTCAAAATGGAGGAAATTCTGACACATTCTGCAATATATAAGATTCTTAAAGACATTATACTAAGTGAAATAGCCAGACACAAAAGAACAAATATTGTACTATTCCACTTTTTTCAGCTGCTTTAGTATAGTCAAATTCTTGGAGACAGAAAATAAAACAGTGGTTGGTTGGCAGGGGATGGGGAGAGAGGAGAGAGGGAAGTTTATTGTTTAATGAGTAGAGTATCAGTGTGGGATAAGAAGATCTGTAACAACATGGCGGCCATGTTAACACAAAAATGTACATGTACTTAATGTCACTGAACTACATACCTAAAAATGGTTAAAATGGTAAATTGTGTGTCGTATTTTACTATAATTTTTAAAAACCCAAATCTATAGGCCTTTAGTGTTTTTACTCGTCAGCTAAAATGAAGTATGAGGGTGGAAGAGAAAGATAAACTTTGAAGTAGTTAGATACTATTTACCCTCCACAAATATAGCTGACATCTATAGCCCAAAATGGATATCACAACCAAGAGAGAAATAACAATGTTCCTTCACCCTTTGGGAGGGCACCCTCTAGAAGAGAATTGGGAATTACATATTTGTAAGGGATTGGAATGTGTTTTTAAAATCTTCTTAGAGCTTACAATATTAGAAAATATTATCAGATAAATTATTGCAAGGGTCCATCAGCAATACGAGGGGGGCAAATAAAGATTCAAGCCCATCCTGATCAGTGGGTGTAAGTGTTCATTGCTATGGAAGAGAGGGAAAGAGCCAATACCCTAAGAAAGCACATATACTGCCGGGCGCGGTGGCTCAAGCCTGTAATCCCAGCACTGTGGGAGGCCGAGGCGGGTGGATCACGAGGTCAAGAGATCGAGACCATCCTGGTCAACATGGTGAAACCCCGTCTCTACTAAAAATACAAAAAATTAGCTGGGCCTGGTGGAGCGTGCCTGTAATCCCAGCGACTCAGGAGGCTGAGGCAGGAGAATTGCCTGAGCCCAGGAGGCGGAGGTTGCGGTGAGCCGAGATCGCGCCATTGCACTCCAGCCTGGGTAACAAGAGTGAAACTCCGTCTCAAAAAAAAAAAAGAAAGAAAGCACATATACTAATTTAAAGAAAACAAAACACTGTTCAGGCAAGAAACACTAGGGCTGAAACGGTCTTATTCAATGCCAGTTTGGGGAGCCTATAGAGGTTACCTTTACTGCCTATGTGAGAATTGGCAAAAAATTAACATTTTTACAGGTTTTAAAATACGAATGTTTAAACTTCCAGAGTAAATATTATAAATATACATTTGACTGTTTCATCTCTAGCCTTAAAAGTGTGCACATTAAAATAAGCTGATATTTCAGGTTGCCTTTTATTTGGATAAACAGAAAATTTCTTTTTATGGAAGAAAACGGCAATAACAAGCAAGTATGGCTGAATCAGTAATGGGAAATAAAAAGAGGGAAGCTGGGAAATTTAACACAGACTTAGTAATCAGGATATGCATTTTCAATTGTAAGCACTGACTGTGGTTTTAAACCAGACTCTTAACACTTTAACAAACAATAGAGTAAGTGGTATATCAGAGGCACTTCAAGCAGAGTGGAACCAGGTTACAGGAGCAGGGTGGCAGCTGTGTCCCAAGATGCTCACTGTTCCGGGATCGGATGTGTTCTCCCAGGTCCTTGGGCCTCTCTCACCCAAGAATGGGGAAGGGGCCCTGGTGGCACGGTGAGTTCATTCAAGTAAATATCGGACCCAAAGAGCTTTGCAGAAAAGCAATTTATCAGGCAGAGAGAGAGAAAGAGAAATAGAGACAGAGAGAGCTCCCATGCTGTTGCAGGACAGGATCCGTAGATGAAGTCCCTATAGGAAAGGGAATAGGTCGGATTTTAACCGGGGAGTTACTCCTGCCCCATTCAAGTTCTCGTCCAGTGAGAGGAGCTTTTCCAAACTTCCTCTGGAGCAATTGATCTTCAACTCTGATATAGGATTGGTTGCCTGGCCCGCAATCAAAGCCTCCTCCCTCAGAGCTTGTGGCCGGCTTTCTAAACAAAGTAAGCCCACCTGGGCTGTTACCTAGCCGGCACCCGGGAAAGTTAAAAAACTCTAGGCTCCCGGATGGGGAAGTGGATGGAAGCATGGATGTGGATGGCGCTGGGAAGTTCTTGCCTTTGAAACTACGCCCCTTGTGGACCTAGGAAGAGAATTTAACATAGTCCCTCAAATGCAACTCCATTTTGAATAGCGCTGGGTAAAATGAGGCTGAGACCCACGGGGCTGCATTCCCAGATGGTTAAGGCATTCTAAGTCACAGGATAAGATAGCATGTTGGCCCAAGATATAGGTCATAAAGATCTTGCTGATACAACAGGTTGTAGTAAAGAAGCCAGCCAAAACCCACCAAAACCAAGATAGCAACGAGAGTGACCTCTGGTTGTCCCCACTGGCACCATGACAGTTTACAAATGCCATGGCAATGTCAGGAAGTTACCCTTCATAGTTTTAAAAGAGAGGCATGAACAATCCGCCCCTTGTTTAACATATAATCAAAAAATAACTATAAAAATGGGCAACCAGTAGCCCTCAGGGCTACTCTGTTTATGGAGTAACCATTCTTTCATTCCGTTACTTTCATAATAATCTTGCTTTCACTTTGCTCTATGGATTCACTCAAATTCTTTCTTGTGCGAGGTCCAAGAACCCTCCCCTGGCATCTGAATCAGGACCTCTTTCCAGGAACAGTTATATTGTGAAGAGTATCAATATAAACTTACATGAGGGATTTTTTTTTAAACTTAATGTTATGCAAATGACACGAGATAAGAATAAAATTTTGAGTGACAGGACAGATTCAAAAATTGCTATATCTCAAACAATCTAGTTAGAAATGAAGATGACCTATTTGAAAAGGTATATTAAATGATCAAAAAATGATTCTAGTGAAAATGTAGATGCTGAAATTAAATATTCATTGAAGAACTTGAATAAAAGTATATGATTAAATATGAGAATAGGTAAAAAAAATTTAACATCTCACAAGTTTTAAAATTGAATGTTTCCCTAAACTTATAAATATTATGTTCCCTCCCCAACCCACCCTCACCGCCACCCTCCCTCCTTCCTAAAAAATAAATAAATAAATATTATAAATATGCATTTGACCATTTCATCTACAGCCTTCAAAGTTTATATATTAAAATAAACTGGTACTTCAGTTTGCCTTTTATTTGGGTAAATAGAAAATTATCTTTTTATAGAAGGAAACAGTTACCACAAGGGAATTTTTATGAATATTTAGTAATGGTTCCAATTTGCTCCATATAACTGAATACGTACGCTGTTTGGCGTTAAGCACAGACAGATATGAGAGGGACTGGCAAATATAGAAAGTGCCAACGTCAATGGAACACACCAGATTCTGTGTGACCTCTGTCCACATCCGGGCATCATTCACATATTCCAAAACATCTGTTCTTTGGTACACTGCCCGGGGCCCCCTATCACGGTGAATCCTCCAGGGTCACATAAACACAGCTAGCACAGCACCTTGCCCAACAGAGGAATGCACCATCATTTGCATGAGGGACAAAGTGAGGAAATTTCTAAGAAAGGAAAAGGCAGAAACACCCTCTACCTGCCCACTGAGAGAACACACAAAGGTACGCATTACACATCACAACAGGAAACCTGCCAACCTCAGAGACAGGAGCACCAGGCTGCATCTGAATGTATTGCTAAGGTGTCTTTTAAAAAATGTCCCCATACAGTAAATCTGTCTCTATTTGCCTAAAAGTTAATGGGGCAGGAAATAAAGACACAAAAATATTTTTTCAAGTTCCTATTCAAAGATTCCAATTAGTGAATGCTTGATTATAATTTTATTAAAAATAGTTCTTGGTGACATAATAGCAAAGGCAAATCTATTAAAATATCATGCTTTTCACTGGGCACAGTGGCTCCTGCCTGTAATCCTAGCACTTTGGGAGGCTGAGATGGGAGATAGGAGATGCTTGAACCCAGGAGTTCAAGACCAGCCTGAGCAACAAGGCAAAACTCCATCTCTACTAAAAAATAAAAAAACTAGCCAGGCATGGTGGTGCATGCCTATGGTCCCAGCACCTCAGGAGGCCGAGGTGAAAGGATCCATGGAGCCTGGGAGGTCACAGCTACAATGAGCCATGATTGTGCTACTGCACTCCAGCCTCCATGATAGAGAGAGACCCTGTCTCAAAAAACTGTGTGTGTGTGTGTGTGCGCGCGTGTGCACGTGCACACGCACACGCTTTCCCACCAAGTTGCAAATAAATAATATCTTAAATGTAAAGATAATTTTCTAGAGTTCAGTGCTTCAGCATCATGCATAACACAGAGAATAATGCAGGTGACCAAGATGTAAACAACAGCATGTACTAAATTGGCCTTGCTTTTGCCTGATAAATACACTATGTTAAAAATATACAGCTGTGTTTCACTAAGGAATTTTTTTTTAAATCACAAATGTTAAAAGAACTTTTCTCTGAAATGAGAAATTGGAAAAACATCACTAAAAAGCAAAGCAAAAAAGAAAAAAAAANAAAAAAAAAAAAAAAAAAAAAAAGCTACCACAACAGCAAGGCAACTGCAGCTTATTGACCCCCACAAGAAGCTGCGAAATACAGAAAAGACAAACTTATAGCTAGGCACTGGATGACACATCTTGTAAACAGTGTTACTTATGGAAAGGCTCATTTAAAAACAAACAAAATTGAAGTGATGTGAGTTAGACAGACAGGGATAGGCGAGGAGAGCAGAAGGCAGGGTGCGGAATATCTGTTCTAATCCCTTACCACGTTTTCAGTGCAATAGCCATACTGCTGTGCCTCCTGGGAATAGATACTCCTCACGGCTCTTGCCTCTTGAGACTCGGATGGTTCATTATCATGCAACCACTGTGTACCAAAGTGAAGTTCCTTAATGGAGGGCACAGGAGTGGCCTCTTGAATGTGCGACAAGGGATACAACTCCATGGACTGAGAGTGACCTTGATAGAACTCATATTCTTCATCAACAAGCATTTCTCTTTCTTCATCCATTTCCTGCAATCTAGGAGTCAGAAATTCATGCATCTCCCAGGCCTCCTGGCTGTGGTCTATGTCATTTTGTTGGGAATGGAAAGACTTTCCCAGATCTAGAAACGGTTCATCCACAAGTTCTTCCTTAAAATATGGTTCATCTCTAAATCCCTGTAAATAAAAGATGCGAAAAATGTGAAGTTACGCCTATCCTGAAGCAGCACTATACAGATAAACTGGAAAATGCAAATGCTGGCATGACCCGTATGCCAATGCACAGCTAACATGCACCGCCCTCCATAGCAAACACGGAGAAACGCAAGCTCACCTCCACACAATCCTCAACCCACAAAAGGGAAAAACAGTAAATTATGAGGCAGAAATCTGCCCTTCACAAGGCGAATCATTTTGCTAAAAGGTTCCTTATACATTAGCCACCTGAAAATTCTCCACTAGAAATAGGAATTTTGTTAAACTCTTACACTAAACATTTAACCCATTCACTTAATATAAAAAGTAGTACATAAATATGTCTACACTTCAAACTATTATTTAAGAAAGCAAAGACTTAAAAGGTCAGGATTTTTAAGCTTAACTCAAAAGAAAGTATTACCATCTCAATGTTTAGAAAACATTCTCCATAAACTAAAGGGGAGTATGTCTCTACTTTGAGTATGACTGTTTTATAATATTAAAAAATAGAAATCTTATTTTTCATCTGTGTTGAAAATAAATAATATGAAGGAATACCATAATTTTTAAAAGAATTTTTATTTCACTAATCATCATAGCTAGTGCACACCACTGCAACTAAACGTGCAGAAACTGTGTTGGGTTACTGGCTAAAACCTGCTGAGACCTATCTCTGGGGAACCTCTGGGTGCTAAGCATAATGAGGCCCAAATCTTTCTAAAAGTTCAAAGATCTTTCCTATTTTAAGTCCTACTCATTACTACCTAGTGTAAATTCCTGGAATAAATCTATTATTTTCTATTGCCTTCTTGCAACTAAACATCATTGTAGCGAAACTTTTAAATTAATACAGTAGGACTGGGCATGGTGGCTCATGCCTGTAATCCTAGCACTTTGGAAGGCCAAGGCAGGAGGATCTCTTGAGTACAAGAGTTCAAGACCAGGCTGGGAAACATAGTGAGACCCTGTCTCTAAAAATAAAAATAAAAAAAATAGCTAGGCATGGTGGCATGCACCTGTGGTGCCAGCCACTTGGGAGGCTAAGGCAAAGAATTGCTTGAGCCAAGGAGACTGATGGTGCAATAAGTTTTGATCACACCACTGCACTCCAGCCTAGACAACAGAGCAAAACACCATCTCAAAAAAAAATTAATACAGTATACCAAATACTGCAACCTAGTTTTTTCAATGTGGGTGGAGGATGTATTTGAACACAGCATATGGTTATGCAATTTTTTAAAATGTCTGCACTAAAATATATAATAGACATTCTAGAAACACACATCATCTTGAGACACTGTCTACATATTATGCAAAGAATATCACTAGACAGTTGTTATCAAGTAAGGCAAAACCATACTCTAACTGCAAAGAGCAACATAAGTATAATTCCTTTTAAGAATAAAAAAGGAAAGCTTCAAAATACATTTTCTAAAATTAAGGCATAAGGTAGGGTTTGACAAAATAACTCTTCTTTAGAAAGTATTCAATATGATTTTTTTGTGTAGTTCCATTTTTACAGCATTTTAAATGCAGGTCTATTTTCAACAATATGTTCTACCATCCAAAATTTTAGGAATACATTAGTGTACGTTTGTTCTTTGAAAATGCTCTACATCTTGCCTTTATCATTTAGAGAGGCAATGTGATACAGAAGGAAATATTTTAGTTTTAAAAAAAATAGGCCAGGTGCGGTGGCTCATGCCTGTAATTTCCACACTTTGGGAGGCCGAGGTGGGCTGACCACCTGAAGTCAGGAGTTCAAGACCAGACTGGCCAACATGATAAAACCCTGTCTCTACTAAAAATACAAAAATTAGCCAGGTGTGGTGGCACATGCTTGTAGTCCCAGCTACTTGGGAGGCTGAGGCAGGAGAATTGCTTGAACCTGAGAGGCAGAGGTTGCACCACCGTACTCCAGCCTGGGCAACAGAGGAAGAGTCTGTCTAAACCAATCTAACAAAATGTGTGTGTGTGTGTGTGTGTGTGTGTGTGTGTGTGTACGCGCGCGCGCGAATGTGTGTGTGTAAAATGAGACCAGGCGCGATGGCTCAGGCCTATAATGCCAGCACTCTGGGAGGCAAGGGCAGGTGGACTGCTTGAGCTCAGGAGTTCAAGACCAGCCTGGGCAATATGATGAAACCCCATCTCTAACAAAAATACAAAAAATTAGCTAGATATGGTAGCACATGCCTGTGGTCCCAGATGCTCAGAAGGCTAAGGTGGGAGGATCACTTGCCCCTGGAAGGCAGAGGTTACAGTGATACCAGATCTCCCCAGTGCACTCCAGCCTGGGTGACAGAGGGAGATCCCATCTCAAAAAAGAGAGAGAGAAAGAAAGGAGGATTAGTTCTTTTATAACTATTTAGCCAAAGGAGGGGGTCGAGCTTGTGTCTTCTTTATGTCTTTATTTATATCTATTTAGCCAAAGAGTAAGGAGAAGCTTTTGTCTTATTTTCTTTTGTATTCTTTCTACATAGAAAGTTTAGCTTATAGCAAATCATTCAAATGGGAAATAAATTTACTAAATACCTTGGGTGCTTCAAGTATTAAAGATGAATTTATATCATGAATTGTTCCTGAAAATTCAGTCTTGTCTTCATTACTGTTTGAATGTAAAATATAACAACTTTCTTCTTCTTTATTATCTTCCTGAAAATATAAACCACTTTTATTTATAATCAAGAAAATATTGGGAGATGGGAGGCAAGGGGAGGGAGAGCATGAGGACAAATACCTAACGCATGTGGGGCTTAAAACCTAGATGATGGGTTGATAAGTGCAGCAAATCACCATGGCCCTTGTATACCTATATAACAAACCTGCACATTCTGTACACGTATCCCAGAATTTAAAGTAAAAGAAAGAAAAAAAAGAAAAGAAAGATTAATTTGTGTAAAAAAGAAAGAAAGAAAAAGAAAATACCTTGGTTTCAAACTTTCATCTTTCAATTAAGAGCAAATACACAATACAAAATTTATTCAAATTGTTTCATTAGAACAAACTTTCTTTAATAATTAAAAAGAATACTATATTCAGGTCAGAGCTTCCCAAACTTTTAAAAGTATTTCTTAAAGAAAAATCACTCTCCCAGGAATAGACCTTATATATAAAACTATCTATGTACCTGGCACAAATTTAAGCACTTTAAATATATTTAATATGTTAACTAATATATTAATATATACTCTTAAGAAGTGGGTCCTCCCATTAGTCCTATTTTACTGGTGAGCAAAAGTGGACATATTAATTTGCCAAACATTAAATGACTAGTCAGTTAGATATTCTGGCTGTGTAGTACTAGAGCCTATGTTCACAATTACCATGCCATGCAATCCTCATCTTTTTTTTTTTTAATTGAGACAGAGTCTCGCTGTGTGACCCAGACTGGAATGCAGTGGTGTAATCTCGGCTCACTACAACCTCCGATGCCCTGGTTCAAGCGATTCTTTTGCCACAGCCTCCAAAGTAGCTGGGACTAGAGGCATGCATCAACTCTCCTGGCTAATCCTTTTGTATTTTTAGTCGAGACGGGGTTTCTCCATGTTAGCCAGGCTGGTCTCGAACTCCTGACCTCCCAGATGATCTGCCCACCTCAGCCTCCCAAAGTGCTGGGATTACAGGCATAAGCCATCACGCACAGCCAATCTTCATCTTATAGATGAGGAATGCAGTAGCTGATGAGGTTGAATAACTGGCACAAGGACACACAGCCTTACAAACCACATATCTAAGCAAAAACCCATAGCTGTCTGGCTCAAGAGTTTTATTGTCAGTTCTGTTCAGTTAGGTCTGAAGATATAATGCAGTTTTTAAAGTCATTTCAGTCTGGGCGTGGTGGCTTACATCTGCAATCCCAGCACTTTGGGAGGCTGAGGCAGAAGCTTCACTTCAGCCTGGGAGTTCAATACTAGCCTGGGCAACATGGAGAGATAGCCTGTCTCTATTTGTATATTAATCAACAATAATAAGTCATTTCATTCATTTTGTGGGTCGGATATGTTTGAGGTAAGTTTTTAGAAAATATAAGATAAAAATATATAATATGAAGTATATAGATATATATACATGCTGTATCTATATAAATATAAGACTTAATAAAAATAATTTGTTCTCATCACCATTATATATTCACAGTCTTTCTGCTCCACCCTGACTTTGGATCTGCTTCTTCATATTCTCTGTCCCCACTTGTGCTGTGAATTGAGTAAATGTTCAGTTAATTAGTTAATAAGATAACATTAGTTAATAAGATAAGTGGCCGCCAACTTTACCATTAGAGAGAGGGAGAGACCTCAGAGAAGATCCATGCCTGGTTCCTTGAATCACTATTTATAGATTATGAGCAGTTTTCCCAGAAGACCCCAGATGTTAAAGGAGGCTTACTTAGTGGTTAAAAAGCAAAGAAATATTGAAATTGACCTTTCTCTCAATCCCTTCATTGGCCTCCCACCCCTAAGTATTCTTGGCAGCCTTGGACTCACTGAGGGAAGCCTGGGTGAGGTTCCACCCACAATCACGTCATTCCAAAATACTCTCAAGAGTAATGCTCCAAGGTCCTTCCACCAGATATAGCACAAGGATCCACACCCAGTTGCTACCAACTCTTGTTTTGTTTTGTTTGTTTTGTTTTGTTTCGTTAAACAGCCCAAGACTTCCTAAAACTGTTTCAAGGTAAAGGTTGTGCTGTTGAAGTCCTCTAGGACACAAATAGTTTGGGATGTCTCCATGCAGCCACACTAATCTGGCAAATAACCATCAGGGAAAATCTAGACAAAGTTCCTGCTACAATCCAAAATACTAAGAAGATGAGGTCCCATAAAACATGAATCGTTTTCCCATCTTTAATTTATCCAAAACTCAAACCAAGAACCTCATGGCATCATCTGTTGACCACAGTAATGCCCACACCAAATACACAAAAAGTCAAGAATTTATTTAGCTATGCGCTATATTCCACTTTGAAATATTTAAAGTATCTGATAGGTATACACAGGCAAGAATAAAAAAAGTAATACATGAAGACCACCGTTTAGTCTTCCATGCAAAAATACTATATGCATAACGAATCTATCTATATATGATTGATTTGTCTATTTGTCCCTGCCAAGATCTCATGTTGAATTTCAATCCCCAATGCTGGAGGTGGGGCCTGGTGGGAGATGTCTGGGTCATGGGGGTGGATCCCTCATGGCTTGGTGCTGTCTTCACAATAGTGAATGAATGCGTACTCACGTGATCTGGTGGTTTAAAAGTGTGTGGCATGGCCAGGCACGGTGGCTCATGCCTGTAATCCTAGCACTTTGGGAGGCCAAGGCAGGTGGATTGTCTGAGCTCAGGAGTTCAACACTAGCCTGGCCAACATGGCGAAACCCCGTCTCTACCAAAAATACAAAAATTAGCTGGGTGTGGTGGCGCATGCCTGTAGTCTCAGCTACTTGGAAGACTGAGGCCTGAGAATTGCTTGAACCTGGAAAGTGGATGTTGCAGTGAGCCAAGATTGTACCACTACACTACAGCCTGGACAACAGAGTGAGACTCTGTCTCCAAAAATAAAAAATAAAATCAAATGTGTGGCTGTGTGGCATCCCCACCCCACTCCGACTCTCTCTTACTCCTGCTTTCACTGTGTGGAGTGCCTGCTGCCGCTTTGTCTTCCACCATGAGTGAAAGTGCCCAGAGGCCTCCCCAGAAGCAGAGGCCACCATGCTTCGTATACAGCCTGTAAAACTGTGAGCCAATTAAACCTCTTTCTTACAAATTGCCCAGTCTCAGGTATTTCTTCATAGCAATGCAAGAACAGCCTAATACAATCAACATAGCTATTTCTATCTACCTATCCAACTATCTATACATACGAACTTATGTGATTCATGTTATATTAAAATGTCTCCTAGATTAAAGAATTGGAGATAAGAAATACCTTAGGAATTCTCTAGTCTTGTCCAGTCTTTTCAAAGATGAACTATATAGGCTCAGAGAAGTGGCATACCCATTGATCAAATTACTAGTGTAATGTTTCTCAAAGTACAAAACTCTGCATCAGAATTACATAAGCGACCCATGGAAGAGGTAGACTCCTGAAGAGCATATCAGAATTACTACTAAATGAGAATTTCTGGGAGTAGAACCTGGGAAACTGCATTTTAACTACCTCCCAGGTGACTCTTATATACATTACATATCTTTAAGTTTGAAATGGGCTAACTTATAGCAAAGCCAAAGACAGAGTTCAGGTTTCTAGAAATCCAGACCAACAATTTATTACGACCAGACTATCTGTTTCATACATGCTGCATACAAACTAAACAAGTGACTGACAACATAGTAAGACAGGCAGGTACAGCACTGTGGCTAAGAACACAGGGTTCAAAGGCGCCCTGCTGAGTGCACATTACAACTCTACCCCTTACTAGTTATAAGACCTTGGTTGAGTCACTCAATTCTCTGTGCCTCATCTGTAATGAAGGTAACAAAAGGCCTATTCTTAAAGTTGCTGTACGGATTAAGTTAGTTAATATGTGTAAAGGGCTTAAAAGAATGATTGACATTTAGTAAGCACTTAGCAATAATAAAACTGGCTGAAAAGCATCATCATTAAGTTTTTATGTTGTTGTTGGTTTTTTTTTTTTTTTGCATTAGAGGCCTCCAGAGCACCATAACTGTAATGGGGTCTTCAGTCATAAGCAGCAACCTGATCATAAGATAAAGCAACAAGATGACTTCAAGATGGGGTTCTTGATGCTAGGAGTTACAAGTTGCTTTGATGGACAGAAAAGCATATTAAAATATCACTGTTATATGATTGAAATGCTATAGTTACCAGGATTTCAGCTTATCATACCACCTTGACATCATTCCCAAATAAAAGTCAAAATGGAAAATATTTATTTTAATTTACATATAAGAATAGCCGGGTACAGTGGCTCACTGTATTTTGGGAGGCCGAGGCAGGTGGACTGCCTGAGCGCAGGAGTTCAAGACCAGCCTGGCCAACATGGTGAAACCCCATCTCTACTAAAAACACAAAAAGTTAGTAGCTAGGCATGGTGGCACATGCCAGTAATCCCAGCTACTTGAGAGGCTGAGGCACAAGATTCGCTTGAACCAGGAGGCAGAGGTTGCAGTGAGCCGAGATTGCGCCACTGCACTCCAGCCTGGATGACAGAGTGAGACTTTGTCTCTAAAATGATAATAATAATAATTTGCATATAAGAAATGTGCTGAGAGCTTAGAAGTCTGTGCTAAAAATATGAAGATGAAAGTAGTAATAAGAGTGGTAGTAGCAGAACCAGCAACATTCACAACTAGTATTTATGTAATAATATGCTATGCATTTAATGAATATCACCTTTAAACCCCAAAATCCTATGACATAGGCATTATTTTTTCTGATATTGTAAGTCAAGGAAATTAAGAAACCTGCCCAAGGTCACACACAAAGTAAACAGTGGAAAAGAAATTCTCGGCCAGGTATATGTCTTCAAAATCCATGTTCTTAACTGTTATACCATTATCACTTCCTATATTAATAAAATGCAACACTCACCACCAAAGGCTTACAGATTCCAAGACATACTATGCCTGGTGGCACAGCTTTCAATACTTCCACAGCTTCAGCAAGTGAGGTGTTGTCCAAACAGTATTCATTGACTGAGACCAGGCGGTCTCCAGGTAATAGTCCTCCGCTTCTTTCTGCTACGCCATCTGCTACCAGGGAGCGGATCACAATCACTGATCTTGTAGGATCTAAAGGGTCCTGTTGAATCAAGCAAAGAAGAAAGATGAGTATATGCCCTGAAAATAAATATGCAATCTTAGGACAGCGTTGACTCAAGAATCTCATTTGACCACTTACTTCATGTGTTTAGCACTCTGGTGATAATCTTCTAAACACATAAAAATAAATTAAAATCTCGCTCTAAGCCAGGTATGTTTGTATACCTCTGTATAATCCCAGCTTCTTGGGAGGCTAAGGTGGGAGGATTACTTGAGCTCAAGAGTTTGAGATCAGCCTAGGCAATATAGCAAGACCTTGTCTCTAAAATAAGTTTTTCAAATTAAAAAAATTAAAAGGCCAGGTGCAGTGGCTCATGCCTGAAATCCCAGCACTTGGGGAGGCCGAGGTGGGAGAAACCTTTAAGCCCAGGAATTCAAGACCAGCCTAGACAACATGACAAAACCCCATCTCTGCAAAATACACACAAATTAGCCAGGTGTGGTGGTGTGTGTCTGTAGTCCAAGCTACCTGGGGGGTGGAGCGGGGGACGCTGAGATGTAAGGATTAGGGCTTGAGCCTAGGAAGTCAAGGCTGCAGTCAGCTATGGTTCACTCTAGCCTGGGTAACAGAGCAAGACCCTATCCCCAAAAATAAATACATAAAACATCACACAAATATCAGCTTGTATCAAGGTGAAAATATAATCTTAACAATTTCAGTAGCATGTCTGAGTGCTTAAAACATAGATTTCCTGTTAAAATTTTTGGTGATTGATACTTAGTTGGACTATAAGAGTCTAGGAAGAGTTAGGCAAGATTCTCTGACATTCTCAAGTACAGTTATATGATGGACCAAAGAAAAGCCTGTCTATTACTCCTCTGGAGCCATAATTAAGCTCCAAGAAAAGCATTAACATAATGATAAATATAATATGGGAAATGATACTCTGTTCTTATGCCTTCACCAGTAGTACAGAATCCTCCTATAAAACCATACAAGTCCAGAAAAGACATGGAAACCATGGAAGAGTCCACTGTATTTTCCAAAGTATATTTATAAATAATATGACCTAAAATGATGATATAGTACCCTTAGGTCACAATTACTCCAATATATAGTAACTATGAATTTATGAACAAAAGCAATGTACAGATCTCTCTCACCCAATGGGAGGGCCCCATATTTCTTGATAAGCACTGAGGACAACACTGACATTCAATGAATACATCTAGTTAATAAAAACCAGTTTATATCACCACTATTGTATTCTGATTTAACAAACTGATATATAGCACTTACTGTATGTTGGGCTTGACAATCACTAATTTATCTAATCCTTAGAACCCTAGAATGTAGGTAGATTTATTGTCTGTGTTATACGAATGAGGAAACTGAGGCTCAGCAAGTTAAGGAAACTAGCCAGTATCGCCCAGCAGATGTGTGGCAGAGCCAGGATCCAGCCAGGCGGTCTGGCTCTTAAGTCCTTACTCTTGACCACCACACTCTGCTGCTTGCTCTGCATCATAACGGACAGAAGAAACAAAGAGTTGTAAATGGAGAAGAAAGACATATTCACATGGCAGAGTCTCTTAACTTGTCTTAACAGTGGAGGTGTAGTAACTTAGCAAGGGGGAGAAAAAATAATGACATCCCAAACGCAGCAGCATTCACTTTGGTTTCTCTATGCTTCTCCCATTGTTTCATTATGCACATTTCATAAGGAAATGTTCCACAAGACAAGATATTGTAACTTGAGATTCTACTACTCTAGCCTCTCTCAAACCCTTCCAGGGAAAGTAGAGAAAAACTGCTAGGTTTGTGTGGGAATTATAAAACTTTGGAATTAGCAAAGTAAGAATTTGCCAAGTTCAAAAGCTATGTCTGTTTGAAGTGGCTGATGATTCTTTTGAAGTTTTCTGATCCAGTTTTCTGTGCCTCTGTGTTTCAGACATCAGCATTCATTTTCAAAGTACTACATGAAATTTTAACCAAATACACCATATTTAAATCAAAAAACGCTACATAGCTAATTCCTTGAAGAATGCTTTCAAATGTAACATCTTGCTTTTTGCAACTAACCTTGCCTTTCTACCCCCAGTCAAGAGTCCTTTTTACATGCTCTGATGTATACCACCACATATTTATGAAGAGAATTACAAGTAAAAAGCAGTGTGGGGAACTCACTAATGAAGCAGTGTGAAACTATAATTACACCAGTATTTTCAAGTAGAGGGAGCTATTGCATAGGGAGAGAACAGAAGAGAACCAAAAAGTACAGTGGCATATCAGCAGGCAATCGACACCGTAATATAAAAGAGCTGTGTATTTTGTCACTGGCAACCATGAATCACAACACACTTTTCATCCTGAAATATGAAACCATTACATTTTAAGTTTGACACACCAATAAATAAGCTGTACAATTATTTCCTTCATTTAGGATGTCAGTTTTTGATGAAAGGCTTTTTTATTGGGGGGGAAGGAGGCTACATAATAGCTTATTCCTCTCATAAAAGGCACAGCGGCTAACCTTCCTTCATATTAATAATTTCTACACTTTCTTAGAGAAAGCGGCAGCAGCAAAATATGCCAAAAGCAAATAAATGATTGCACTAAGTTGTCTGTGAACAACCTCTGCAGTTTCATGTAACACCAAAATATAAAAATATTATTTTTAACCCAAATAGGCAAGTAGGTTTTCAAAATACAACCTACTGAATGATACTTTAGGAACATTTTAAAGGGAGGTTCACCAGAAGGAAATGGAAACAGACTTCTACCCTTGAAAGATGAATAGATTTCCCTTATTGCCAGAAAAGTCATGGTGAGTACTAATTTACACAAAGTGAGGCCTTCTTTAGACCTCCTAGTGACAGGTGTGCTTGCTTACTAAAACATATTCAGGTTTAGACCACTAGTTATTCTAAACACTAAATCTAATCTACCACCCCTTTTCCTGGAGGACAGAACCCAAAGGCAGCTCCTTTGTCATTTGGGGGGCAGGGAGGGGACCAATGAGCTACCTCTGAAGATGCCCCATTATGTATAATTGTGCTTCATTTTCTATGATGACTTTTCTGCCTGTGATTTCCCACATAGCTGAATGAAATCGCTTTAATGAGTAACAGTCATTTCCTTTCATTTCCTGTACATCACATACAGCAGCCACCCTATGGAAAAACAGCAGCTGCTACTGCCTACTGGGGTGGCTGCTATTCTTGAGGCTTTGCTGCATAAAAATGCTCAAAAACCAGCCTGACTCAGGCTGCTTCTCATCAGAAAGGTCCATTTTCTACAAATACAGTCTACAATATTATGTGCATGTTATAGCAAACAAAATGTTATAGAGTTACTTCTCAAAACCCCTGCCCAACCCCTAGGCACCCAGGCCTGTTTACATAGATATACATGAAGTGCTTCACAAACGTGCATGTTATCCTTGCACAGGGATCATGCTGATCTCTGTATCATTCCAATTGTAGTGTATGTGCTGCCGAAGTGCACATCCTTGACGGCATCTTACTAAAATTATTCTGTCTTCCTACTGAAAACAAAGTCCCCGTCAGCTTTTATCACCTTTCATCGTAATTTTAAAATCCCTTATATTTCTTTTGGTAAATAACACTGCAAGGAACATTGTGTTTAAGAATCAAGATGCTGCTTTAGAAGAAACAGCCAATAGAGGGCACTAAAGACCAATCATAGAACATGAGAAACACACTATGAAAGATAGTGTCTTCTGGAGGAATTTTTTTCCTCTTTATTCAAAAAGTTTATATTATTATACATGCCCTAATAGTGCCCGATATATTTGGTTCAACCCAATAATTTCTGAAAGTTGTACCCTACACCATTTTTTTGGGGTGACAGAGTCCCACTTTGTCACCCAATGCCTCAGCCACCCGAGTAGCTGACATTACAGGTGTGCACCGTCACTCTCAGCTAATTTTTGTATTTTTAGTAGAGAAAGGGTTTTGCCATATTGGTCAGGCTGGTCTCGAACTCCTGGCCTCAAGTGATCCACCCTCCTTGGCCTCCCAAAGTGCTAGAATTACAGGCACCCAGCCAGATCCTTACACCTTTTAAAAATATTATTAAAAACTTGTCCTTTGTAGTGACATGGATGAATCTGGAAACCATCATTCGCAGCAAACCAACCCAAGAACAGAAAACCAAACACTGCATGTACTTGCTCATAGATGGGTGTTGAACAATGAGAATACATGGACAAAGGGAGGGGAGCATCACACACTGGGGTCTGTTTGGGGGTGGCTAGGGGAGGGACGCGGTGGGTGGGGAGGTTGGGGAAAGATAGCACGGGGAGAAATGCCAGATACAGGTGACAGGGGATGGAGGCAGCAAACCACCTTGCCATGTATGTACTTATGCAACAATCCTGCATGATCTGCACATGTACCCCAGAATCTAAGTATAATAAAATATATATATTTATTATCAAATGCCTATAATTAATTAAGAACAGCAAACTTTCATTGGAATAGTACACGTGAAGACAGGAGTGTGGACCTGAATTCTACACTTTCTTACTCAGCTAGGAACTCCTGGTGAACCAAGTAACTGCTCTGCCTCCTAAGTGAATTAAATCACCAAGCCAGACTGAAGAAAAGTGGGTAAATGGATTTTCAAGGTTTCTTCAAATGATGCTAATGTTTGACGTTTATTAGAACATAGGATGTTTTGATGTTGGGGAAATCCAAGTTGACAGACCCCTCTCCTCCTATATCCTGAGTGGCATCAGCACATAACCAAGCTTTTCCTTCTCCCCCTCACCCCTCCATTGAGTGGCTCACTAAGGCATGTCAGTTTGACCTTTTATCTCTTATCTCTTCTGATTCTTCCTTTCCATTTCCACTGCCTCCGCCTTGGTTCAGCTTCTTGTTATTTCTGAGCAACTGCTATGGTTTGCTGATAGCTCTACCTGTGTCTAACCTTGTCCCCATGCGTCCATTTTCTACAGAGATAATAGAAGCGTCTTTAAAAATAAAAAGGTGATCATAATTCCTCCTCTGCTTAAAATA